TGCTCCAAACACCCCCCCCCCACACACACGCACGCACACAAACACGCACACACACGCTTTGCCCATCATGATCACTCATACATTCACACCATCATCAGTCTGGCTTTTTAGAACAAACATCAAATTGACATGTGATCTAGTGCCTTTCAAGAAAAATGTGTGCATACAATCACACACATACACACGCACACATGTGCCTGGAACGTGTTCAGCATCTTGTTCAATGTTGGAGCTGCTGCTCCACCTTTTCAATAGATTTTGTGTTGTTAATGCCAGACTTTAATAGCTTCATTAAAACACCTACAAAACATTATTTGAGACATAGTGGGACATGGGATACCTCAGGATAATGCTTTAAAGTTATATATATTATTATATCATATTATATAAGACATCAACTTAAAAGAAAATTGCTAAAAGGCATCACTTCACCAAACAATTGCAGAGAGAGGAAAAACCCAAAAATCAACTAATAACAGGTACTTCCTTGTTCGTTCTCCAATTAGACAGTTGCTGTCCTGACCCCTGACCTGAATGGGCAGATGATGCCATTGCGGGTTTGTCAGGTGGTCAGAAAGAGCAGCACTGATCAAGCGGTTAGTATTTTATGTGCGAGCACAGCGAGTGTATGGTGATTCTGTCGAGTGCTTGGTGTTGAGGCTGGGCCGCACCTGTCTGCAATTTGGCACATACTCTTCTCCACCTGCTCTCTTGATTTATTCTCTCTCTCACTGGCTTTGTTCCCCCCTCCTTTGCTTTGCCTTGTGTAAAGGGCTCTGTGTTGTGGCTTTTAAACAATTCCAATTTGGGACAAACCACAAACCACATGAAACAGAGAGAGCAAGAGATAGAGAGGCTTGTGAGAAAGAGAAAGAGAGAGAGAGACATCTGCTCAACAGCTTGACGAGCACTCAAATGAACATATATACAGCTTTTGGATAGAAGGGAAGGAGAGAAAGAAAGAAGGTGAGAAAGAGAGAGAGAACGAAAGAACGAACGAACGAGATGAAAAGAGGCAGACACAATGTTTTGTGTGCATGTATGAGTGTGTTTATAAAAATCACTGATAGTTTTTTTTATTTTTGAACCACTGATAAATCATGAAATCATGATTCCTTTATCAAATGGATGACAACACTTCTATTCTAAGCCCATCTTTCAATAACATAGGCCTAATCATTTCTTAGGCCCTACATATTTATACACCAGAGAAACATCCTTATATACCCAAATTCATGCAGCGTCTTGGTCGATATATGACGCTTGGCATCGGTCAAACCAGAAAAACATGAACACTCATCTAAGCAGTCATAAATCAATGATATAATCTCAAAGGGCACACCATCTGTATTCAGATTCATATCATTATAGTCAGCCTCACTCAAATGTCACCATATGTAAAACAGCATATTGTTCAACAGAACAGATTCATGCACATGTACATGAGGTCCCTTGCAAAGTACACAGTGTTTTTACAGCAAGAGGTCAACCAATACATTTACACGAATTTCCTTAAGATATGCCAAAATGACCATCTCAGAAGATGGTCCAAATATATGAATGGAAACTTTACTGAGACTTTAAGTAAAGTTGTAAGTAAGCTGACCCACGTATGTTTTTTGTGTATGTTTTAGAGAGCAGGGTGAGAGCACAGCATTTAATTCAACTGCTGAAATGAAATGTATATTTATTTTAGGTCTACATAATGGTTACTAAAATATTTGGATATAAATCACTTGAAAATCAATTTCAAATAAGATTTTTTTAATAAAAAAAATAAATGTTTAACTTGTTAAAAAATTCCTTAAAATAAACAATTTATACTTTAGCTAGCATCTTCTTGATTCTGTAATCCCATTATGGCACTTTTCAATAATGAAATTATTAAATTTACATGAATTAAAAGGTAGTAAACAGTGCACTCAGTAGTGCTTTAAGTGTGTCTGTGTGCACTGGGAATCAAACATTCTCAAATAAAGGCCAAGCAACCCTAATTTTACACATTATACAATGAACGACATAAACATAGTGAAGAATAGTTTGAAGTTGCTCACTCGCTGTTGTGTCCAAAGACAGCCAAACTCTTTCATTCACATCCAATTCACAAGGCTTGGATCACACACAATTTCACACGGACTGACTATAAGGAATAGAGTACACACATTTTTATACAGAATACAACGCACACTTTAGAAGATCTAACAGCTGGATTCGCCTAAGTTTGCAAGATTTATGGAATTAAATGTTTAATTATTTGTTTAAATTATATAAATGTTTATTTTTCAAATGCAGACAGTATAATATGAAACATATATTGTTTACCATTGTATTATTTGACAGAACAGTTAAACAAATACAGTAAACTAATGAAGATGGAAAATGGGAGCTCTGGTGCATCTGCACACAGCGTGTGTTCTCAGCACTATCAAAATAAAAGTCCCACTTACCAAACCTACTGGCCGAACAGAAGAAATGCTGAATGATAGCCAATATAACACCTTTATATCAGTCAACCACTACAAAAGTGAACCAATATATATAATTTCACTTATATATATAAAATTTCACTAGAACTCGCATCTCTGAATCAATCTACCATTACTTTTCACTGATTATTAATGAGATATTAAGACTTAAAAAGAAAACATGTTACTTAATAAAAAATGTGCACAATATGGAATATTGGAATTTTAATCTGGAATATTAAGTGAATCATGAAAGTTCGGTTTGATTTTGAACGCAAATCTGACATCATAGTCTGAGATTCAGAAACTTTAAAGAAGAGAACAAAACTTTGAGCAAGAAAATTAGAATTAAGGGCCCAAGAGCATAGAAATAAAAGAATATATCTGTGATTGTGAATGTCACCTTCATCACTCTTACTCCAGCCTCATCTGGAGCAGTCTCTTTTCAAACACACCCCATACAGATGTGCACGTCCACACATATAGATTAGAGTGGGTTTAGATTATGAGCATGTTATCACATATGGATTACATTATTGAGAACAACATTTCATATGATTCTCAAAGGACCATCAAGAATATCCTGGCAATGACTCCAAAAACAACATAAGCCTCTGCTCTCATCTCAAACCACAGGGAGGTTCACATATCACATACACTGAGATAGATTGTCCTGTTTAGTCAAGCTTTCACTCATCTGCCCTTCTTTTTTCCCTACCTCTCCAACTGGACAGAGGTTTCGTCAAAGGCAACAAATGATCAAATACACCCACACAGCTGTGCTCAAATTAATTTAACATACAACAACTAAACTACTTTTTTTCAGAGGAGTCACTTCAGTGGAGTGATAACAGGAGGCCTTGTCAAAATATACACGCACTCATGCATGACCTTTCGATCTCTACGCTTAATGACAGATCACAGCCTGGTCACAGACAATGATGTTTGTCTGGAACTCTCTCAGTCGGTGAACCCCAGGGCGAACCAAACTCATTTAGGAACAGAGGGAATTACATTCCCCTGTAAAGACACACACATACTCAAACAGATGTCAACAAGGACTTAAACCACCAGGAAACACAAACCGCTGCGAAAAGTTTAAATCACCACAACAGAGACAAAATGCAATATTAACAGATACAGATACACATACACACACCACAACAGAAAGACAGATCATTCCTCACAAATGCCAAGCAGGACCAGAATAATGTGTGTTATTATACGTACAATGTCAAACATACACACACAGGCTCTTACAGACAGACTGACATGCACACACAAACAAACACAAACACACACACACACACACACACACACACGGGGGGCACACACACGCGCTGTTACATTTAAAAGGAAAAAGCTGACATTGACTCCATCACTGTCACAGTGGCTGCCATAAAGCAGCGGCAAATATGACACACACACACACACACACAAACACACACACACACACACACACACACACAGGCGGCAGACATACACGCTGGGTTACTTGCGGACAGCCAAGCTAAAAATGGGGCAGTGTGTTCAGACTCCAGTCACAACCAATATAAGCTCACATTAATCACAATGAAACCTTTTTAAATTTCAAACGCTTTATTTATTGACAGAGAGAGGCCATTGAGCTGTTTCTAGTTGGTTTTGAGGTGGCAGGGGTTGTGTGAAGGGTCAGAGGTCATGGGTCAGTTAGATTCGCCCTGGGTATTAAAGTCACAGTGAATATGATAAAAATGGGAAGTGAAGTCACACCCACCAAAAACAATACCTGCAACAGGACTGTGATTATCTATCGATTTATTAATCTATAAACTTTTCAAAAAAGTCTGCCACAAAAATAATCAACTGATATATTAGGGTGATATCAATAAACACATTTGAACAGATTTATTTACAATAAATAACATGGTTTGTTATTATTATTATTATTATATATATATATATAACATACATTTTTACATAAATATACAGTACATATTTACCACAGATTTATATACAATAAATACTAAGGGTGCTCTGATTGATCGACTACCAATCACTATCTGCCGATAATTGCTTTGAGAATTATAAAGGCCGATCTCATAAACCAATCTCAAGCTGACGACGTGCCTGCCGTGAGAGGTTTGGCATGACATGCAGCGGCACCATCTCAATCTCCGTCCGCCGCGGTCCCTCTCAAAATGTGCAAATGGCTTCAAATCACCACATTGCGTCTGCAATATAAGCGAGCTGCACGCTGCACAGTTGACACAGGAATTGTCACTTGCACAATTGAGGCAGTGTCGCATTGTCACTAAAGTTTATAATTTGCATTTCTTTTTAAGTCTGGCCAGAGTTTAAACCATTTAGCACTCATGCGCTCTCCTAGAGATGATGTGCTCAAGCACACTCAAAGCACACAGACATAAGGCCGCCTCACATACAGCTGACGAAATCAGGCTTGTACTGTGTGTAAGCTATTGTGCAACAATTGCCTCATTGTAAAAACAAAAATGCACAACATTTGGGTGAGATAATTATATATTTTGGAAAAATGTCTAAAAAATGCCCCCTCCATCCTCCCAAATGAACCCCCAAAACCGATTTCGATTTTTCAATATATATTGATATGAGAGAAAGAGAAAAAAAGCTAGATGTGCATAATACAATATTACAGAAGAAGGCTATGTAGGATGACATCGCTACATAGCAACTTGTTTAAAAAAATTGCTTGTTGCTGGAAAAACTGTACAGTTATGAAAATAGTTGAGCTACTCTCACACCACAGAAAAATGAAGTTACATTGCATAACTGATTTGTTAAATCAAATGAAAAATTGTGTGTTTGATTGGTCCAGACGCTACATTTCTATCCATCTAGCTTGTAAAAATAATAATGTGTCTGCCTGATCTGACCCTTAAAAATAAATTTCATTTGTGTGGCCTATTGTAGACAGGTAGATTCAGTCATCTATCCATCCATCCATCCAATCATCATGCCGCACTAAAGTGTAATTTTAAAGCTTTGGTTCCCAAACTTACATACACATCTGTGTGTTGGCTGTTGTCTGAGACTCCTTAAATAGATCCAGCTGTTTAAATTAAAGCCATTAAAGTCATGCAAACATTCTGTTTCTTCAGAGCACAGCTCTCGAACACCTGTTTGGCTGAGGTGAACCCGCTCTTAGATCCCTCATTAGGACACACATACACACACACACAGAGCCGCGCTCTGGGATATATGGCTAACACTATATCAGATCTAAGATGCTGATCAACAAGCACATTCCTTACTGCTAACTCAGAGGACAAAGGACTCGGGCTAATACACCGATTGATGTGAGAAACTTGTGTGTGTATTAGTTACAGTGGTAAATAGTTGAATGGAGAGTAATTAGAGTGTGGCTGACTCCATCCATTAATGTAATATCCTGTCGAGGAGGAATCCCATACTTACAAAGCTTAATAAGGAATAGTGTGTGTGTGCATTAGAGGGCTCACACTGTGATCTGGCCACATGCCATAATGCCTGAGAGAGAAAGAGAGAGGTTGATGGGGAAAGAATTCCCTTCATTTTCCCATACTCTCTCTCACACACACACACACACACAAACTCAAACAAAGGAAAGGTCTGATCTACCCTGTAAAAGAAAAGCAGGTCTGATCCTCTGTAACAAGTATGACCTTCACTGAAACACAAACTGGATGTGCTATAATGACACATCAATAGCATTTTCACAGCTGATACAAAGTATTTCATGTATGGAGTTACATAGGGATTGCGCTATTCAAGTTATTACCAATAAATGGCCGAAAGTACATTTTATACTATTTTGTCTAAAGAGTTTAAATATCAAACACTAAAAACAATAATTTAAAATGATACAAGCAAATTTAGGCAACAACTTTATAATGAACAGTATGATTTTAATATATGTAAATAATGGTAACATATCGGCTTGGCTGATATTACCAATTATGCAATATATTTATGTATATCTCGTCTATATATAACTGGTAATATTGGTAATATCAGCCAAGCCAATATGGTAGCATTATATTGTGCATCCCTAGACTTACATCATGACTGGTGATACCATGATACTTCCACTTTGTTTAAAAAAAAACAAACAAAAAAAACCTCAACCATTCAACATACCAAAACAAAATAAAAAATAACTTTGGTTGTTTTTATTTTCTTAGAAAAACTATGATATATAGCCGTTTTTACCTGACAGAGTGGTCATGTTGCACACACACTTTCTCTCGCTGACAGACTAACTATGCTCACGCCTCCCTCCTCCATCAATCAGAGTCGTCATGGTTACACACCTTCTTTTGGCATGGATCAGTGCAATACTCACAAACACACATATATGCACACAGCAAAACCTCCATACACACACACACGAACACACACACACTTGATCTAAAGCCTTTGTTATCTCAGGGAGCTATGGATGATTCTATTATATCATGCCTAGCAACAAACATTGATGCCCAAAAATAGTTCACATGGTCAAGGGCAGGGGTCACCAAACTCGGTCCTGGAGGGCCGGTGTCCTGCAGAGTTTAGCTCAAACTTGCCTCAACACACCTGCCTGGACGTTTCAAGTATACCTAGTAAGAAAGACCTTGATTAGCTGGTTCAGGTGTGTTTGATTAGGGTAGGACCTAAACTCTGCAGGACACCGGACCTCCAGGACGGAGTTTGGTGACCCCTGGTCAAGCCTTACACTCAAAATTTTCTAAGATGCAAGTGTATTTTTTAAGTGCCCTTGAAGATGCTTGTGGAGGAATAGGTGGCTGCTTTTGCATTTTAAAATATCTGTTTATGACAAATTCTTCATCTGAGCTGAGGCAACTCTGAGTCCCTAAAAATCACATTATGGAATTATAAATAGGAAAACTGTGAATGCAAACATGTATGCTCTTATAAAGAAGTAAGATGACTGTGATGGACCAGTACAATAACAACATCTACTACTTGGCAATAAGGAAACAGAACAATTACTACAGCCCATTCCACTAACTTTTACTGTACCATTTGTGTGCACCAGGAATGAGATGTCTTCGCACCCTTCACATTCACTTCAGAAAGACCAAAGCCATACATTAGATTAATTCATTCATTCACTGTAGGAATTTGTTGGTGTGTGTAATTCTACCTCCAGAATTAACCTCTAGATAGGTCTAATAAAACGCATCCATAAGCCAAGCGTTCTGGATCCAGCACTAACGCACTGCCCGGCCCCGCAGGGTGAACATCAGGAAATGCTGCGACGAGCCTGGCCTTTTGCCAAAGGAATCAAACACGAGTCCGGGCCAAACCGCAGCAAAGGCTAAATAAACAACGACCTGTGCCGCCTGACAGTAAAAGTGCGTCTGATGAAGAGAGCTTGTAAAAAGGACAGATGTTGTTTAAACAGAACAAATGTACCCTGCAGGTGAACGATTCACAGTTACGAGAAGCGCGTCACTCCAGGGCTTTTAACACACAATGTGAGTGGGGTGAGAGACAATGCTCACCTAAATCAATGACTGAAGCTTACAAACTAGGTATGGTTTCTGTAATGTCTGTAGTGGTTACAGAGTTATGGATCCTCCACCCTTATGGAGTGATTTTTGTGTTGTATCATTTTGCATCACTGTACTTAACAGTCAAATGTTTACCAGATGGATTCAGAAGTGATTGAAGACATGAGGGCCTCACACATATTGATCATTCTGTCTCACAACTTGGTTATCTATCCTGGCAAAACACACCTGATTTATACCATCAGCTCATTAGTAGAGACTCCAAGATCTGAACTGGGTGTATTAAATAAGGAAGACCTCCAAAATGAGCAGTAATGGGGTAATTCAGGGCCATGATTGAGAACCACTGATCTAAAGGAAGTGGACTCTAACAATAGGTCTCCAACAAAACACACACACACACACACACACACACAATAGTCTGGGAGGCAAGATAATAACAAATTCTCTTCTCAATAACAGAAGCTGAAGCCAACTGAGCAGGAAGGAGGTTTCTGCTCTTTGTATAAAAACAACAGATAACTCCGTTTACCTGGACGTCTATTGTTGGGTGGTCGGTGTCCGGTAACCGGAGCACTGGCGCTGTGGCTTCATAGTGCGGGACTGGCCCCGCTGATGACACCTCATCTTTATTTTTCTGGGATATTTCTCGTTTGAGCTCCGAGCGCAGGTCCAGGTAGCAGAAGAGCGTGACGAGGTGCAGAGAGAGCGAGAGGATGAACAAACTCAAAAAGATTGTGCAGTTGTTGCATTGGCTTTGGCACTCACACGCCGTCTGCGTGCGCTCGCGCTCCTCCAACTTCGCCGGCTCGCGCTTCGGTACCATGGCTGCGTGCAGGTCAGTCAGCATTGCTTCTGCATACCGAACTTCCTCGTCCTCTCAGCGACTTTTGGCTTGGACTGGTGGCGTTGAGCAAGCACTTCTCTGCGCGCTCATCTGGCTTCCTGACCTCGGACTGCGAGGATTCAGGCTGATAACCTACTACGGCCAGCTTCAGGGACCGACCCCTAGCAGCTGATTGGCTGCCTGCGTGACGTCATCTCATTGAGAATCCTACCGCGGAAAAGCGCGGCACTATGATATTCATCAAGACGCGAACAAACATAAATTACTGTAGCGCTAACAATAGCGTCACACGTTCGCTGCCGATTACACAAGATTGGCCATTTTGTAACCCCTGAAAGGAACAGTCTGTAAATAAGTTAGCTGGTGAAGTCAAGAGAGTTTCCTTATTCGTCCTGTTGTCTCCACATCAGGGTTTTTTCAAACTTCACACACCTCCTCGGGACTCCCAGTATATACATACTTACACTTTAAATAGCCTAACTGGTATCATACATTATAATGCTTAATAAATCATTATTTAGAAAGTTAGACATTAGTTAATAATACATACAAATATCATGAAACCCCTGTCTAGAGATCCACAAGAGACCCACAATTGAAAACCCTGGACCTAAATTAGAATTGTAAAAAAAAAAAAGTTTCTTGTCAAACTTTCCCTAGCCACATGTTTGTACATTAGGCTTACTCAGTGTGTGCATGTGTGAGGGTGCAAGTGTGTGAAGTTCCACATCTTTAAAGTGTTAGAACAGAGGACTGGTAGTGTAATTGTGGCATATGTTGAAAATCAGAGCAAGACTGAGTGTTAAAAGCGGGACAGGACTGCCAATCAAATAAAAACATCAAATGACACACACATGCACAAAAACACACATGAGCACACACTGCTTTTCAAACAACAAAATTATACACATACATGCACTCCAGTTTACACACATTTATCATACTGTCAAGCACCAAAGCACACACACCATATTAATTTAACTCTAAAATACACAGTTATTTATTACTATGACAAAACTCTTCTGCTGCATGCAAACCACAAATTGGTAATATTTGGGTAGTCATCTTTCTTTCTCTGGCAGTTTTTGCAGACCTGTCACTCTCATCCAATATTGTGAAAAAAAGTGAA